CACGAATTGTGAACAAAGCAAAGAAATGATGACCCATAAAACATCACATCTGGCAAACCAGAACTTTGACAGTTACAGCGATAATAAAAGCAAAAAACAGAAAACGAAAGATGAAGAGCTAGAGATCGATCTTCAGTTGGGGAGGAAAAGAAAGGATGGAAAAAAAGAAAACCAAAGAAGGTCAGCTCTATCCTGAAATCTTCCGTTCAGAATCGCAGTGGCTTATTCAGTGCCATGTGCCTAGACGTGCCTGGGCCTTCCGATATACAAATCAGTGTTCTTATCCTCCCAGAAGAATCTGCCACCAATTTTCCGTCAGTAGAAGGTAGAAGGCTTGGTTATTCTGGACAGAAGTCGATCTAGATTTCACCCCGGATCGCGCTTATGGTAAGTCACATTCCACTAAACCATGACCACAAGAAAGAGATTATCAAAATTTAGCAAAGGAACGAAACTGGGAGAGAAGTTCACGGCTTTTAAAACAAGAAAAGGATGTACATGCAATGCACAAACAAATAGTTGGGAGTAACTGCTATTGTGAGGAGCGGAAGGGGCGATCTAGAGAAAGAGATTAGATCACAATCACAAGGGATAAGAACCAAGAAGAACGAGCACACTCAAAACAAAATAATGGGGAGTTCCAAAAGTTCGTGAAGTTTCCAGACTTCTCACGAGAAAATTTTTATTTCAGCAAAAAACACTATCACTCAATAAGCAAAGTGTGGATACCCTGTTTTTAGAACCTTTTCGGCTTCGAACTGAGAAAGACAGCTGGCTCATTGTTCAGGAGCTTTGAAAATCATTTCTTACCTGGGATATGGTGAGTGCTGGTGGACTAGGTGAGATAGCATTCAGAAGGAGCTAAGTCAGGCCTGACTGAGGTTGACTTCACCAACTAGGCTTTTTAGTTTTCAGCTAGGCCGCTTTCAAAACGAAGGGCCTGCGTTCTTATGGAGCAGGCAAACTTCGTTGGGGCGTGAAGACATCTGGTGAGGTTCTTTCCCCTCCCATCACAGTTAGTTAGAATGGGGCAGCTGGCAGGCATATCGCTTTTTGAAGAAATCGCAGCGGCAAACTCCATGAAATTCTCACCACATGCGCAAATCATTTTTTTCCTGGATTAGCTAGAATCGACATCGATCCCGGCTTTTTTGGTGGACTTAGCCACTGGCGCTTCCGGGGATGGTTCAAGTAAAAACTCCTTATTTCCCTTAAAGGAATATGACACTATAATTCGGTAATCGGTCTGAAGCGGTGGTAGGGGTGCTAAACAGTGGGGGGAAAATGGCGAAAAAAAGCGAATTGAATAGGTCAAAAACCTGCAAAAACCCTTCGTTCTACGCGACTCAGAAAACAAATTCGGACGAGTTTCCCGATGGCATCGTGCCAATCATCGCCACGGTAGGTACGGCTGCATGTATGTACTAATATATCCATGCAGCATCGCAGTCGCTTCATATCAATCCCTTCCTTTATATTGCGCTTTGCTTGAAGCGATACGAGCATCAGCATCAGTCAGACATTTGTGAGCGGGCGGACGCGTTGGGCGTCCGGGGCGGGATGTTGCAGCTTGAAAGAGCGCTAGAAGGGTACCTTCCTTGGGAAAGGCGCCATGCAGCGCCTGCTCAGGGGCGCAGAATTATGCCCGTAGGCGTACTAATGCTACACCTCTTGGGGATTTTTCGTGCCACTTGCCTTTAGGTAACAGAGATACTGTAATCTAGCACTTTTGAGGAGATTTACAAAAATACAGATATTGACAGATGCGGAAGATGTACATGTTCATATGTAATCAAAGGCGCACAAAAATGCATAGAAAGTTATAAAAAAAGAAAGAAGGCAATAGAGTTGGAGGGTCAAATATTCACGCTAAACCCGACAGACAACGAAAGACCTGCCTCTCTTCTGACCGTAATTTGTCCACTCTTAATCGGAGAGAGTATCCATGTGAAGAACAAATTTTAATAAAATATGAAATATGAAAATACCTCTGCAAATCCTCTCTCCATCTCGCGGAATCGACGCCGAGTAGACGTCTTTCCAACTCCGGACTCTTATCGGCTCCTTCAAGTACGTGCTTGAAAACGCGAGCCTTTCTAGTGATCTCCGCTTCGCGCTTTGCGCGCTCCAAAGCCTCTTCTAGTGTTTTCTTGACTGCGGCTCTTATTCCTAGCGAACAAGAACTTTAGTTCCTTTCCTCAGCAGAATGGAATAAAAATAAAAAAGAAATGAGCTGAGGCTGACTTGCTCTTTCAACCGCTCCTCCTCCTTGTGCTTCCGCTCTTCGTCTGCCTCTTTTCGGGCTTTTTGTCTCTTTTTCACGTCTGACCCTTTCTTCATCGTATCGCTCTCTTCAGATTTCTGCTTCATATCTAAAAAGGATAGTGTTCACTGCTGGCCCCTGCAATCTTAATCCGCGCAAGACCGGCTAACATAGAGGAGCGAGGGCAGTCTATCCCCGCCAACCACCGTTTATCTTTCCGGGAAATTTTAGAGCCCTATAAAGCCCGTAAAAAAAGCGAAACCGCACCGACTTTCATCTGCACACAACGTCATTGATGCTCCGTCATTTAGTATCGCACCGCTGAACAGTTGTAGTGCAGGCAATAACTGAGGTATTATCTTTTCACACGTCCTCCCTGACGCCCCTTCCTCCAATCCTGGCTCGTGTTGGCATTGTAGATCAGGGTACCAGATACTGAGAAAATTTTTAATATTTACAACCCCCCCCCCGGTATATCCTCCTCTCGTACGGCCTCCCTCCACTCCCTTCTGTGTTTTCATTTCCAGCATTTTCTGATTTCCTACCTTTCCTAAACAAAAGTTCTCGAAGTTTTCGATAAGAAATCCCGGGAAAAGTCAACAAAAACCAACAACTGAAAACATTTTCCTTCAAGATTTGTTTCGGGCAATGTGACTCTATTCCCAGCGACAAATACTCCATCATCGATGTAATATTGGTACTATGATCTCGCGTGAGCTTTTCAGTAAACTTTACAAGACTGCCTGATGATCTGCGTTCATACTTTCCGGCAGTGTCCACTAGCGTTTCGAGCGTCCGGCAGCGCTGGGAATTGTCATCAGATATCAATTGGCGTCTTGCCACTGCCTACCAGCTGAGCCAGCGTCTCCCAACAGGCAGGATACAAAAACTGTCGCTACCCTTTCTACTGCGCCATACTCTCCTCTCTCGGGCGCTGCTACACGCTGGCACACGCTAATAGACGCTAGATCGATATCTATACTTTCCCAGTTGCTGATGCTGCCGGACGCTCGGAACAGCTAAGTGGACCCGCCTGCGCAAAAGCATAATGCTGGCATTAAAAACCTCCACAGTTATGCCTACGAACTTGTGAACATACCCCTTCTCCACCACGAGAGTAGAATTAGCACTGCATATTTTGACCTACCGATCTTTCCTTTCAGCGATCTGTTCATCGTAGTCTGTCGCTGAACTTGACGAGCGTTCACGAGCAGTATAGCACCTGTCGGTGACAGCACTACGACGTGAAACTACTCCGCTAACAGCTACGCTCTACTACTCCGTAACCTACATTCGTTATAGAAATAAATTTGACAGCTGCAAAGTGTTAGGAAGATAAGCATTGGTTTGTACTTAATGTGGGCGGACGGACAAGACAATCGTAATTTCTCGCGTTGTCACGCGCGGCATATCGTGCGCCAATAGGCGGCAAATGTTTCATGAGCATCAGTCTGTCGATTGGAAAGCGAAAACCCTTTCGAGGGGGGGGGGCGGGGAATTTCATCCGAGCCGAGACTACGTCGCTTGACACCAAGTCCTCCGATTTCGAGTTCACATGCTTCAGAGCTCAAATACAATCGGTTCAAAGTAGAACAACTCGTCCGTCAGGCGCAGCGTCGCGCCCACACAGCAGACCAGGATAATACGATTGTCTTGTCCATACTCATTAATACGCTGATGTAAAACGAAGCAAATCAAGCACCTTCTTGAGCAGCCATGGGAGGAACAGCGGGCGCATTTGCTTCATGTGGCTCTTGGCTTGGATCAACGGGAGCGCTTTGAAAAGCGGCAGGATTTGCAATAGGGATAGCCATTGGAACTGAAATTGTTCATGCAATCTAATCAAGCTTTAGAGCGAGTGGAATGGAAATGGGTAGCGAGAAACCAGAACAAGGCTGAACACCACTCACTACAGCGAATGAATAACTGAATATACACACTGAAGAAATAATTTACCAGTTGCGGGGGCCACCGCACCCCACGTTGCGTTCGCGACAGACATCTGTGCAAACTGTTCTGCTATCGTCACCGGGCAGATTGGTGTGCCTTCCGCAAGCGACTTGCTGAGATCCTGGAAAAATCCAAATGTACAATATTAGAAGACGCAAATGAGAGGCTCTCAAAGAGTATAGTGTAGTCCAGTGTATGTCCGCAGTACGTAAGTGTTAAAACGGGGTATGCGAAAGGTCAACCACAATATGCCCTTGTGGGCGCGGCGAGCGACTCCGCGCCCGACGGACCAGTTGTCCTACTGGCCATTTGTTGAAGGAATTCCAGAGATTCCAAGAGGATTCCATATCACCCGTTACGGAACCTATCTCCGCCTGAACTCATATGGGTTTCACTGCTCCAGTCAACAAACTGAACCTCATCGCGAAATCGCCGCGTACCGAGGCACGACAGGCCGCACGCGACGACCTACGATTGTCTGGTCCGTCGCCCAGTAGGACGCGCCACTAGATCGCATAGAGTCCCATAACACCTCAGTGACGAGAAGTGAAGCCTAGAGACAACCTCCCCACACCATTCCTTCGGTTTTTTTTTCAAATGTTGGACACGGTGCACATCATCGCCTTGTGGAGGAATTTTTCACGCTACCCCCTCTCCAAATATCATCTTTGATGGAACCCCACAATGAACATCCAAAACCCCTCTCAAACGGTGAGGGATGGAGAGGGCGGGGCCACGCCTCCGATCATGAGTATCATCTTGCAAAGTGCTACGTCGCCGACAAGTGTGATCAGGGTACGTCTTGTCGTTGGAAGAAAATCTTGCAGGATACCTCAAACTTTCTCTTTTGACACTCCCTTTCCCCATCTCCACCCAACATTTCGCTTTCCTAAACTCTTCCAACGTCCTAATATTTTTCTCGAGTTTTTCCCGAAAACTCTCCAGTTTTCTCCAGCAAAAAAATGCACTGCCGTCGACCCAACGGGGGATATAGCGCACCGGAGACATTTGAAATGCAGAAAACAGAAAAGTCAACAACCGAAAACATTTTCTTAAGGACGTGACCCCCCCCTCCCTCCAGCGACCAAATGCGACCCCAGCCTCTCACTGGGAAATTTCCATGTGCTTTGACGTGTGATGATCGGATGGCCGGAATTTGGAACTAACCATAAGAGGACGAGGATTTGGCACCTAGAGGGAAGAAGCTTCGGTAAGGACAGATCAATTTTTTTGAAAGAGGCCTTTGCGATTCAGTAAACGTTAAACTCCGGAACTTCCACAATGGCGCCTATTTCTGGCTACCACGAAATACGTTCACTTAGCGTATGGGACTGTGGATCTTCCTAATTCGGAAGACCCAAAAGACTTGAAAGTCCACAGATTGTTCCACATGTCTCTAGACACTGTAGTTAATATCATCTCAGTCAGTCGGGGCAGTGTCAGGAGGGATGAAGTGAGCCCGTCAACAGCAGCTATATCTCTCCCTATATATGATTCGGATAGTTTTCGATTATAGTGAAGAGAACACACCAGTGCTGACATGAAGCGAGGGGCTTCTTATGTCTCTTGACTCCGCCCCCGACTGATTACGAGCGCAATTAACTTGAACGTCGTCGGTTGAAAACTGAGATCAGGGCAATTACCGTTCCTCAAGCCGTCGAAAACAGTACCTGAACAGGTATCGGGATTGTTCCTGGGGGTAAAAGATTGATCGGAATAGGCTGTAGGTAGCTCCATTGCATAGCTGTTTGGTGCGTTGGTCCCTGAAAGGCAAAGAAATCTTGTAAGGTGTCCCTCAATCTATTCAATCGTACCAAGGCGTGTCCTTCAGAAAACATTTGAAAGGCTGCTGCACGTTAATGTCATTCGCATGCTATGGCTCAGAGCGTCGCTTCGAATAAAAACCGGACAGCGAGCCAGTTTTACAAGACATCTTCACTATCAATGTCTTCCAAATGTCTTCTATCGAGATCAAACATGGATTCGCTGCAAATGTGGAAAGAAAAATGTCATACAAAGGCAATTCAGCTGCGACTTCTATTGGCTTTTTTTAGCTGGTTAACCAAACTGTCATGGAAAATAGTAAAAGAATGGACTGGAACTAAGTACCGTAGATGCAGCCTATTCATGAGCATAATTTCCCATCGAGGGCAATTGCATACTGGTTTTTCGCTTGGACGAATGACCTTACTACTGCCCCGAAGAGGGATCCCCCCTCGAAAGAGTGCCGCCGCCGTCACTGAACCAAAATGAGCAGCAACGAGATCCCCATCTACAGGATATGGTAAGAATCTAACAGCAGCAAACGTCAAAATCGGGCTTCCTGTCAACAACAGATATTCAAATGGCGCTTAACTACGACCGATTGAAAAGGACCGAAATAAGGAATTTATCGATCCTAACCAAAGACTTGCTTACAGTGTTACATGTCAAATTCACGCTGATCGCATGGGCGGGCACAGTCTCTCGCAGTACCTCTCCCCCTCTCCTACCAACACGCCTCTTCTCAACGATCTGGAAGGAGTGAACAAGAAAGCCAGTGAGGAAGGCACAACTACTGACCGTCTCCGCCTATAAAGTAACCGTGACTGCGATTTTATTTTGAGCGCCAGGTTCGATATCATCCTCACGTTCTATACTATGACGTTGTAGTAAAGAAATGTACCCCATTAGGTAAAAGCTTACTCACGACAAAAGTAAGACTGGTAAAACTTACACCACTAGTAGGATATCCTTGTGGAGCTAGCTGGTATTGGTATTGCATCGGAATCGGATAAGCTGTTTGCATTGGAGCTGGCATTGACGTGTGACCGCGAGCAATATCGACTGGCTAAATTTACGGGCTTATTCGGAAAATCACTCAAAAAAACCAGTACTTCCAGGGAGCCTTGATCGAATGTGCAAGTCAACGAAAGACTGGCACTCGAGAGATCAGCGAGGACAACAAGGCCAAGAGTAGAGATAGGTCTCAAAGGTTTCACTGAGGCCGTTCTTGCGAACGCGGTCACGCTGGTAGGCTGGGTTTAGTTGTACGCAGCATCCAGCGGCAGTGATTTCTTATCCGCCCAGGTGAACTTGATCGGGCCTGTCATAAGAAAAACTTTGTTCGAAGCCACTACGCCTTACTATTGACCATAAAGGTTCGCGCCCCACGAATGACTAATCATTGATCGCTGCTTCAAACAAACCATCTTCAAGCGTACCATGATCCACTTTGAAGTATTTCCATTGAAATCTACAACCAAGTAACCATTTCTTATGTTGTACGCAGGCCAGGAAGTTGGGGCCAAGGTACGCATCGTGATGTGCGTGAAAACGCAGGCGAGTACGACACCCTCCCCTCCTTGAATTTTCAATTTCATCGGCTGGAGTGACCATCTCCGCTATCCTCACCAGCTACTCTCGTACTTTTCCTCAGCTTTGCTACAACTTTAGCACTCTTTCGAAAAAAAAAACTCCACTTCTTTGTAAAAGAAAAAGACTATCGTCAGCTAGGAAGGATTCGTTTCACGATCAAATACTTTTACGTCAAGCACGCAGCACGCCCTCCTCCGCCCTAGCGGACCAATGTATCGACCCTCCTGCTTGAGATTCTCCCAGGGTGGAGCATCGTGATGTGTGAAATGGCTGTGTCGCTACCTCCCAGAAATTTCCTCATCTGGTATGACCCCCTTCCCCACATCTCAACGATCTTCCGAAAATTTTGAACCACTTTTTCACGATTTCCCGTGGAAAATCCATTTTTCCCAATGATCAAGAAATTGGCGGTGGGGGCGTCTTCACGGGTCATCTACAATTCCTCAAGAACAAGTACGATCCTCCCGCTAGTGACCAAGTGCGACTTCCCTGATTGGATTCTCCAAAGACGCTGCACCCCATTTATATGGACCAGGATCGGAATCGGGCCCAATTCAGAATTGAATTTTTACGGAAATAACTGACAAGCTTAGGTTCGCCCAAAAAGTCTATAACTGGGCGATATTACTGAGCGCTAACTTCAGAAAATCAACCAATACGAATAGTGATCTGCATGGAAGTACCCCTTTTTAGCTTTTGGTTGGCTTTACTTTTTGGCTCACATCTCATCACAGAATTCCACTGAATGACAATATTCCTACACGAATCCCATACACTTTCAATTCAAACTCATTTCCAGAACTCCACTCAAAAGGTCAGACCCCTCAGTCAGACTCTAGGTTAAACACCTGTTAGCCGCAACATGTCTGTTCGTTGAAAGCAGTAATGATCTCATCAAGGCGGCAACATCAAACGTTTACCCCACTTATCCAACCGTAACTGCTCGCCCTGATAAATTATTTAAACTTGCTAGTGACAGTGACGTCAGCAAAAGCGGCCAGACGAATTAAAGACCCAAAGACCATAAACTGCGACCGTTCGTGATAAACCATCGTGATAACCCGCGTTTTCGACGCGCTAAACCGACAAAGTTCTGGGAAAACCCAAGTCTTACTTTAACCTTCGATGGTAACAAGAAAAAGTAAATCATCTCTTAAGATGAATCACCCCAACTATAATAACCAGTTGAAGGCACAGTCCGCTATCAGTCACTGGGACGTCATTACTGGCGCTTCCCTTCCCCGTTCAAATGACGGTGGCGCAAAGACAATTAAGGCGTACTGATTGAACGACTCCGCCCATACTACCATCATGGACTGCGAATCTACATAGATAAGATTCAGTGGAAACCGTGGAACCATTACACAAGTAACTACTTTAGCACTGTTTGACTTCGGACTTCAAGCTCTACCGGCTATTATGAACCGCAGCCACACCGTAGGCGGCGTTCAGACGTGATGGCGCACGTGGACGTTGCGCCCGCTATCGCTAAATCTGAGAGCATCCTTACCCATTCTAAGTGAACCATCCTAGATTGGTGGTATGCTGGATGTGATAGAGCTTTTTGATGCATTCTCCCCTCGTCTCCTCTCTTTCATTACCCCACAGCCACGAGGCCTCCCCTCCCCGCCCTTCACTAATCCTCAGCAGTTGATAATTTTGACACTGGTAGACATCATTCCACTTCCTTGGCTGGAACAAGCCTTTAGAGAGAGTCATGTTCCTTTTTTCTGCCCTCAGACATCACTCCCTATTCCATCATTCTTTCCCTTACTCCCACACGGAAGGGAAAAGCTTCTAAACGCAGCCTAGAGGTCGCTTCTCCCCTCCCAAAGCAAAATAAAAAGCGCAAAACTTCACCACGTGATACTGGTTGCTCACTTCGGTCATCATCTTTATTTGACAAGTCTGTTGAGACTGCGACGAAGACGATTTCGACAAGGTCGTTTCTTTCTTCTCACAAGTTGTGGACTTTTCCTGAAATCTCATATTCAGTTACGAGAACGTCCCACACTCTCATCCACATAAAGACAAGCCTAAATGATACGTCGTTAACCCTGCGCCACTGATATTCCCAGGATAATTTCCTCATGAGAAATCGGGCACTAGAATCACTCATAAGTTGCGCATTATGCACTTTCTCACGCACATTAGCACTCATATTCGACACCAGCTGTGCACAATTCCGCATCATAGTTCTCTCCCCATTCACCATGAATGGCGATTTCAAGCTATCTTTCGAATCTCACCCTCTCCGATAGACAGCATGATTGCGCGTGGACGTCATAAAAACATAGCGGCACCATTGTGATAACATAAAAGATGGGGAAAAACAAACATTGGAGGGGTGAGATGCCGAAAGTGCGATAAACAACGCGATGAGTATTCAACCATTTGAGAAATCGTTATCTTTTAATGAAGGAAAACGAGGATATCTCATCCTGTTTCGTCCGACGAACTCAAACTATCAAATTCTTCCGTTTTAGTCGCTAATGATAATAATGATAAGAAGGAAAAAGTAGTGACAAGTGCACCTAGAAATTGTACGATGCGCCATGCTCTCTACTTATATTGGAAGCACTCATTTATCAGAAAGTTCTCATTTAGCTACCATTTAGCCTGCTCATCGTCGAGCCTTCATGTTACCTCTTGTTTAATCCTGCACTACGCTAGACTGCGGCCGATTTGGTGTGGTGGGGGCACCAGAGGGTATTCAGGTAAGGCTGTACAGGCCACATTGTGAAAACCTGCGAATTTTGAATTTTCTCGAGGTTCAGAGCGGCTCACTCGAAGAAATTCGCAGCTTTACGGGAATTTACAGTCCTGGCTTTTACTCAGCATGAACCAACAACGAGAACTAGCGAAGTGCAAAATGCCCCCTTCCAAGAAATACAGCGCCATTGAGTGCTAAGCTCAATCTCTAAT